CCTATCACTTGTTCTGTGTTGCTTTTCTTTCCAGGGTGAACTGACGAATGGACGTTCCAAATTTCATGTCCTTTTCCTTCTCTTTGTTGCGGTCATGTTCTTCGTAAGCCTTATGTTTCTGTTTGGCTACCATTGTTGGCTCGTTAGTAGAAACAGATCTACTTTAGGTAAGTCTCTTGTGTCTTTTTTCTTTAAGTAAGACACACTGAAAGTGCTGTAAGAAGAAAAAAAGAAAAAAAAAAGGCATTTGCATTCTATACATGCCTGCTGGCTTATGAGGGGAGGAAGATTTAAGATCTTGGCACAATGCTGCAGAAATTTGTCACTTCAGATGAGCTGCATTTATTAGCTGGTGTGACAAAAGCTTTGTTAGGGAAACGAGAGCCTTAAAGTGTAAAAGTCCAATTATAAAAATGTTATGCATATGTATAACTATATTTGCTGTGAAATGAGTGCAGCTTTTCAGGAATAATGGTTCTTTATGCTCATATGCTGGAGCGCATCCTAAAACAGCTTAGTAAGGTTGGGAAAAACAGCGTCCATCTTCATTGACAAAGGCAAAGAAGTTATGACTGTGAATCCAATGAAATGAAAATCTGAAACAGTATGATTTTGTTGAGTGATTTCTGTCTTTCCTCAGATAAATGTTCAATTTTCAAAGCCTTTTGGATGAAGTTTTATAACAAAACACACACTATCAAGAGTTTGAGCAAATACTCAGATTTTTGTAGAGTTACTAACTTTAAAACTCATTTCGTGGGGCACTGAAGCTCATCTATCCCAAAACATCAGACCTCTGCAGCAGCTTAGAAGGTAGATTAAATTGTTTCTAGTGCACTCTAGGTTCTCCTCCCCTCTCTTTTCTTAATTTTGTGTCTTACCATAACAGAGGATCTATTTGCATATGTTTGTTCCTAATGCGTGTTCATTATATCATTAATGAATGAGGCAATTTCAATCGCCAGTGCCACTTCTGAAATACGTATTGAAGACCAACCTACTTAATTCTGCAGATTTTTTACTTAGAAATTTCTACACACTGAATTTCAACAAGTCTTACGCAAAGATCTTATAACTCTGTTCTCTAGATTAAACAAAGCATTTGTAGTTCAATTTGACTGTTCCATATGGTTCAGTTGCAAGACCAAATTCCTGCCTTCACTTTGAAAGTCTTTACAGGCTTTCAAAATGAAAAAACTATTATTTTCAAACTTTGTATCTTTGTAACGCTAGTTCATAATATGTTAAATCATGTTGTGTTTAGATGGCTACAACATGCAAAATCCTGTTTCAGAGTATTTGGCATTGATTTTAATTTTTTTTCACTGAAATTGCATCTGTGTGTAGAGGCTTTCTCAGCTCCAGTGTTTCAGAATGGCCCAGATAAAAATGGATTCAATCTTGGCTTTGTAAAGAATCTTCAGCAAGTGTTTGGAGAAGAAAAAAAGCTCTGGTTACTACCTATTGCCTCTAGGTAAGTAATAAGTCAGTGCTAAAAGCTGATACAATTAACTGAAGGGACTGGCTTCTAAATATCTGCTACAGCCTCCTGTGTTAACGCCTATTATTGTGTGGCTTGGCTGACTGCTATTGTGCATCATTGTAAATGCACCAACTAACATCATCTGCGTTGCTCCTGTGCACCAGAAGTCTGGAAGGGAAAGGTTTTGAGGGCTAAATGCACTGCACAGGGTGTTTGAACTCTTCTTGGACTCCTGTGGCGCATGTGTGGATGCGTGTTCACTTCAAAGATGCTGTTTTCTTCATCTGTCAGAATCCTCTGCCTGAAACAGAGTTTATGTTTCTTAATGTAGGGGAAAATGTTGTTTCAGCACTTAGTAGACCAGCAGTAAAGTACACTGGAATTTAATTCCTTTAGTCATTGGGCACAATTTAAAATAACTCACCAGTACAGCAATTCACAACTTTTTCAAGTAGCAATGTGTAAGTGTAAAGCCCAGTTGCATCCCCACTGCCATCTGTTTTCCACTCTTAAGTATAAGAAAGCCTTTCTGTTAATGAAAGGCAGCATCAAAGTGCCAGTCAGGGGCGCATTACCAGTGTGTATAGTCATCCAAGGGAGAACACTCAGGTTATTTTCCTTGCATAAGGATGACTCACCAGAGGAAAAAGGCACTTCAGCTAGTTTACCGTTCCTCTGTCTATGCTGCTGGATGTTAAGGAATGCAGTATGGTGCAGACCAAGCTAGAACATCTAGTTTTTAACTTTGTTAGTTTACATTACATGAATTTGAATGTACTCTCAAACGTTTGTGTGATATCCAGATATGCATTTCCATTTGGGCAGTAGTAAAGCAAAAAAAGCTTTTGCAACTTTAGGACTTTGCAGAAAATTGTTTTGGGTTTTTTTTTGGGGGGGGGGGGGTGTCCCATTTTATGTACAGGTTTAGGTCACAAGAAAGTGAGCCTTGTCTTTCTCTTTCAGTAACATCTAACTAAGACTGGGGCTATTTTCTATTGGGTGTCATTCAAACACAGAAGTGTAATTTCTGCCCTGAAGAATCTATGGTATAAACTGATAAAATTTATACCTACGGTTTAAATTGTTCCTTCTACATAAATGTTTTCCTTAGCTCCCTCTCACTTCTAGCTGTCCATAAGTTAATGTTTTTCTGTTGTTTCTCCTGTATCCAAATGACATTTAAATTCTGCTAAACATTACTTAATTCCAGGCTGTAGGTTTGAACTTTTAGTCTCTAGAGAGCTTGAATGAACTGAGGACCAAAACTACTCGGTAGTAAAACTTGGTATCTGAGCTGCCACAAAAAATAAACACAGTATTTTTCAAAACTTAAAAATAATCTTAAGTAAACATTGGAAATACAGGCAGCAGAAAACTTTGTTTGCAGATAAAATGTGTAGAAATTGTCATCCTTCAGAGTCACTTGCTGCTTTTTACAGTGCCTTTCTCTGCCTTTTTCCACGTAGCCAGGGCGATGGACATTTTTTCCCAATGAGAGCTTTGTGTGAAGCTCAGAATCCTCTCCTAGCAAATGAAGAGCAGTGGGAAGATGATGGAATAGATGAAGAGCCTCATGGTAAGGTAACGCTAAAGGAAATCAGTTGTGTCTTGACCTACAGTGACTAGTGGGTGAATTATAAGAGCTAATAAAAAAAAAATTGTGTTGGCTGAGTCACTGGGCAGCTCTGACTTGACTAGTGAACACAGACTAAAAATAAGTCCTACTTTGGAGTCAACTTTTTTGTTTTAGTAGCTTTCTACTTGCAAGTAAATGAACTGAGAGGTTGTTACAAGTTGCAGAGAAAAATTGAAATTTCCACAAACTGAGTATATTTACATGTAAATGTTGCTGCGTGCCGCACAGTTATTGGAGACATAAAGTTGTGCCTGTAAAAATGAAAATACTTAAGATTTTTTTAAAGCACATTTATCCTCTGAGAGTTTGTGAAAACATGCATGCAAACACCTGAATGCAGTGATACATTTAGGAAGCTACTTTATACTTTGTTAGCTTTATTACAGGAGTAAAGAAGTTCATTTGGTTTCGGTGCTTGCCTAGCTATGTGCTAATCTCCGTAGAAGAAATATCTGTGCTGAGAGCAATTCTAGGTGAACTGGCATGTTTGTACAATAGATTTGATCAGTTTCTGAATATACCTTTTATGCTATGGATGTCCTATTGGAAAAAAGACTTTATATATATATATATCTCCATTCTTTGATGATTTTTGTTAGATGGATCCAAAATTAGTTTAATGATTCCTTACTGTTACATTTCTGTTTGAACTTGATTTTTTTTCCTGGCATATTTACCTCCAAGCTTTGGTCTTTGTAGAATACAGTATGTATTAGAGTATCAGGGCTCATGTCGAACGCCCCAGTTACCATGTTTGAGGGTTCAGAAATTCTGTCAGTAAGGTAAAGCAAGGGGCTCCTATTTTTCCCTGTGGAGCAAGGATTCCATTACACAGGTTCCCTGTAAAAGAAATGTGATAATCTCACTCTTCTTTTCCCTTTAAGGAATGGTGAAAGTGTTAATGAATTCTCAGGTTACTATAAATAGTGGATCAAGCAAGTATACTTGGAGAACCAAATATCACCGCCTTATTGTTCAGAGACATGATTTCCATAGTCACGCTCTTTATTGCCTCAGAATAGTTTTCAGAAACTTTGCTGATAATGTTCCCTTTCAGGATATACGTTTTAGTTCACATGTGCACAATGTATGTTTGGGAACCCGTGAGGGAGACTGTAGTCTTGGTTAAAGGGGGTAAAGAAACTTCTGATGTGAACGTTCTTAGGCGTGTGCAATGTACTGTGCAGTGAGCTCTTTAATCCTAACAGCACAGTATTTGCTGTTCAGTCTCTGGTTACGTCTTACCTGCAGCTGTTTGTTCAAGTTATTCCACTGCAAAATAAACAGTCTGTGTTTTTTCCAGGGCACACTTTGCATACAGCTGGGAAAATATACTCTCCAGGATTTTGTTAATAGGACTGAAGAGGCTCATTTCAGCTTCTCTTCAGAATACTGCTTTAATTAGTTTGTATTTTTTGTGTTAGAAAACTACCTGTTCTTCCTGTTTTGTTCTGTACACTTTGGCAGTTATAAGATAACACAAATTGGCTTTAAAAATAACAAAATATGGCATCTCTGTGTATTGTTTATGATGCATAAAGTAACTCCTTTAGGAAAGAGTCAGAACTTCTTCCAACTTTTACAAAGTATAGATTCCCTGAATAAAAAATTAATTCTTAAGTATGAAAACATTTGACAGTGAGATGATTTTGGGCCAGATCAGACCCCAGGATCTGAATCTGGAGTTTATATGAAGTCCCACAATTTGTAGTGCTTATAAAATGATGACATTTACAGGCAGTTGGACTACATGATTGTTGTAGGTCCCTTCCAACTGAAATATTCTATTCTATTCTCTCTACTAGTCTTTCTCAGTGAAAAAATAGTTTGTAATCATATTCCAAGAAGCTGTAGAACTGTAATATTGGTAAAATTAGAACCTCTTACTGTAATGTAAAAGCCAAACTGAGCCAATACAAGGTTACATACAAAAGTGGAAAAACAGGCTGAACACCTGCTGTGAGCAGATGGCTAGCTGTTAGTACTGTTAGTATGTGGATCTTGGTCCATGACTGGAGAAGTGGTAATTTTTTTGTAGCGGCTGTGAGGTAAAGGTGGGAACTACAAATAAAAGAATGCACTAGATAAGGAGATTGTGTCCTTTGTATGTCTACAAATCAGTGATGTGGAACTGGAATTCAGCTGCTAGAGCAAACATGGGGGAAAATCCACTTCCCTTTATTTTTCTTACAAACAGGCAAATCCTCCTCTCAGCTCAGTCTGAACATCTGAATTTTGCAAGATGAAATCCTACATGGAGGCGGGGAGGAAGCTAACACCCTTCCCTGGATGCTTCTGTGGCCGGTGCTGCAGGACTGAGAGTAGCAGACACTTGTAACGCAGCTTTCGGCCCTGACACTGATCCAGTTTTGTGAGCCGGGTGACGCACAGAGCTTTCATCAGAAAGCTCCACAACAGGCAGGGTTGCCTGAATCTTGCACTCTGCAAGTTCTGTGGCTTTCCATGACCACCAAGTAGGGTCACAGTTGATTCAGTAAGCATAGAATCATTTAGATTGGAAAAGACCTTTATGATCATTGAGTCCAACCATATAACACATGTAGAATATTTTTGAGTAAGTAGTTTTGTGATACAGCATAAATCTGTCTTAGAGCATTTTGCTCTAAGCCCTTGTCTGTACCATTCTGCTAGCACAGGTAACAAAAGCCTGTGTATCATTTTGATTAATAGAAAAGAAGTTGGGGGGGAGGGAATTGTAGAAGAAAAGGTATCAGGTTTGTTCTTTTTCCTATAACTGAGTCAGCAGGCAAAGCAGGAGTTGAGGAAATGTGAGTTTACATTTTTCAATCCTGCAGTCTCAGGAGATGGCCCTGCCAGCTGCACCAAGGTCAGAATAATAACTGCCCACTTGTATGTAAGGGGGGTCTCTCGCCTCCTGGAGTTTCACCTGTAATTGCTCATGCACTTGTGTTATGTAGCAGGAGTGATGAGGGGTCTCCTCGTCAGCCGAGTCCCTCACTCCAGGGTCATGCAGAAGAGAGAAACACCACAGAAATAACGAAAAAATGAGGAGCTTGATGAAATGTTTCTTTGTGTAATGTTATTGTCCCTGACTGCATTATTGCAGTCTTTTGCTTCCACCCTGATTATTCCGTGCCTGCATAAAGCAGGGCATTTTTAAGCCCCCACAACTGCAAAATCAGCTTGCTCTCGTGAGTACTGGGGGAGATCAGCATTAAGGGACTGGGAGATTCATGAGGAGAGGGCAGGCCCAACTGAAGGCAAGTTGAGGAAGCTTCATCTAGGTCCCAGGAGTGTAACAGGCCATCTTCTCAGTTGTCTTATCCACAGGGTTGTCCTTTTTTCTGTGATACGGATGTTTAAATGTGCCCCTCTGGGTTGGATTTTTTTTTTTCTCTTAATCCTGGCCTCGCTAAGGCTTTTAATTGTTTCATGTAGGGAGAAAAATATTGTGGGGAACCTTTTGTTTCATTTCTTAGCCAGAGACTGAAAACACTTGCTTCCAAATTCATGGTAATTTGAATTTTTTTCAGATTTATTAATGCTCATCCCTTATTCACAGGCATCTGTTTAATCTGTCTAGCCAGAGCTACCCCAAATCACATGCTGGCAGCTTATAAGGTTATCAGGTTTTTTTCAAAGAACTCATCTAGAATGTATTTGACATGTTGGTCGTGGGTGTGTCAGTACTGTGAATGCTTGCACTCTTTGTCTTGCGGAGCCTAGGACAGGACAGCCATTTCTGTATGTTTATAGCAACATCTCATCTCTTAGACTGATTTATTAATTTAATCATGTGTTTCATTTAAACTTGTACAAAAGGCTTGAGTATGAATCACATCTTTCCCAAATTCTTCTCGCCTTCAAAAATTTGTCATCTGTACTAAGTAACATCTTTCCAGCAGAAACCAGCGTATCCTGAGTAATAGGTGGAAGCTGATATCTCTGTTGGTGTGATGAAGCTTCAGGTGTCTGAAGGCATGCGATTTGAATTTAAATTCAAACCGGTAGGAGTCTAACTAAAGGAGCGTCATGTCCTGAGATACCAGCTAATTTGGCATAGCAGTCCTTTGAGTAGACAAGTCATTTGTGACTGTAGGGATTGAATTTCTATCCATCGAGAAATTTAAAAAGCTACTTAGATGTCAGAAGTGAGCAGAGATTACTCAGACGGTACAACAGTGTTTTGGCCAATACAGTAAACCGAGACAAAAGACTGGGTTTGCATCTCTGGATTTTAGGCATGATATAAATGGTTAAATTGTGTCTGACAGAAAAAGATTAAGTTAAAGTAGTGCTAAACCCTGCATCAATGACTGCCTTATAATCAGTTTTGAAACAATGGAGGGGTACCTGTGCAGGAATCTGTGTCAGTTTGACTAAATTAATTAGTGAATATATTTAGTAAAACCAGTATGGTTTTGTGTGTGGATTAAAACTGCAGCTGCTAAGTCAGTTACATGAAAAAAGATATTCCATAAAAACTTGGTAGCGAAATTTCAGTGAGACTAATGTCCCAGACCCAGCAGGTCTTATATATCCTTTCATCAGTTCTCTTTGACATTCAGATCATATGCTTTCCTAAAGGTATGCAGAATAAAGGGCTGTTCTCTGGAACTTCCCATCTGAATTACATTTTGCATGGTAAAATAGATGTCTGTGCTAATAAATATGAAAATAACTTGATAATGGAAATAGCACTGATTCTTTTTATACATAATAAGGAAACAAGAGGCCTAGGCAAATTTATTTGTTGTCTTTTGTATCATTGAGTGGTAAGGGGGAACTGTTTGCTTTTTGTTTTTTCTTTCTTTACCTTCAGAGAAAATTAATTTGGAGAAAATTAAAGAAAGTTCTGTGGCAAATTGATATTTGACACTGCTTGATGCCGTTCTTGCATTTTGACCATTGTGTCTTACAACGAGCTCTGGATCTTAAAACCAAACAGCACAAGATCAGTGCAAGATGTCTATAGAGCAACACAGTTTTGAAATCCTCTTTTTGGCAGGCATAGGAAGAGGTCTAGAAGTATGAATTTGGGAAATGGATCTTATTTGTATGGCTGCCACGGATTTTTATTTTATTTATAGGACAGTGTGTTTCACTTAACCATGTTTTGCAGGTGGGGAGAAATACAGCATGATAACCTTCCTACCTCTCAGGCAGGCTATGAAGATAGATTTATGCATATAAATTGCTTTGAGTTTCTTGGGTATTAGTTACTGTAATAATACAGTTCTACAGTAGAGCAAAATGTTGTTGTTGCCTACGCTCAGCAGGATGCCGTTTCCACTGAACGTGAGGTATGAGCTGCGTTCAGGCCACCTGTCATTTTAAACAGTCTCCACGTAGTTGTAGACTGCTGTTAGATTGACCTCAAGCTTCCTCTTCATCAGAACAAACAAGCCCAACTGCCTCAACCTCTCTACATAGGTTTAAAGTCAAAATTTCTATGCTGTTTATATATGGCTTAAGTCTGACCTTCACAGCTTTCAGTTTTCCAAGATTTGGACTGAAACTGTGTGTCTCCGTAGAAAAATGATGTTTTTATTTTGCAAGTGAAAATGTTTAGGAATAAACTTAACCATGAGTGCATGAAATGTATTATCATGTATTTCTACCATGGCTGCATTAACCCAACGGTATCCAGAGAACATGATTTCTTGGTTCATTAAGCTTTGGTACCCTCACTTCCATCTGACAGAAGGGTTTTAGGAGACGGCGTTGTAGGCACAAATGATGTTTTACTCTTTCTTGTTTTCTCACCACTGCTTTTCATTTTTGCAAGGCATCAGCAAATGAAGTGCTCTAAGCTTTGACTTTTCAGATTCCATCTTGCACAATAGAAGTAAACCAGTATAATTTCCTAACCAGAAAGGCCTGAAATGTTCCATTAAAACGGAAAGACCTTTATTGTCTTTGTGGCTGTAAAGCTTGTGACACAGTTATGAAATAGATAAAGTCAATAATAGAGTAATCTCAGTTTAAGAACTGCTGTTCAGCTATCTCTGACAAGTGGTTGTCTATTTTTATTTGGAATGATTCTTAAAACCACACTCCCATACTTAGTGAAAAATACATTCTCAGTGAGAAAAAACAGACTGACTTACCTCTAACTACTTTGTTTTTCATTGTATAGATTCTGGTGAAGCTTCATCCCTTGCCATAGAAAGGGAGACATAGCAGTTTGAAAATGCAGCGGTATAAAGCTTGTTCAGAAAGGTCAGTATTTCTTTCTTCATTACTTTCAAAACGGGCGCTCTGCAGGGAAATTGGTTGGTAACATTGGACAGGTCTTTTGAGCCCACAGAAAAGGGCAGAGACCCTCTCACCAGAGTATTGTGTTGGTGCATCTGTGCATGGTAGTATTTCACCAATATTTCTCAATCTTGTCCCGAAATGCATTGTTTAAGAGAACCTAAAAGAAAACAGTGGCTATCCAGGAGCCCTGGGCTGGATGCTGACACAGTAACACAGGAGCCAAAGGCACTGTTGGTACAGGAGGATACAAACCCTGCAGCTCCTCTGGTAAATGTGGCAGGAACGACTCTTGCCACTAACTTGTACAATTACAAGATTGGAAGTCTGTTCAGTGATTCATGAAAGGTGTGGGAAGGTGCAGATGCAGTCTTAAAAGAAACTGAAGTTGAGAACAGCCAAGTTGCAGTTAGGAATAAATGGAAGTAACTTGTACCGCCCACATCAGCTGCTACTCTCTTATTTTTTTTTTCCTCCCACCCTGGAGAAACTTGGGCACAACAACAGACGATACAGTTTGGGGAAGATGCTGCTACCAGAACGTTCACTGGTCTATAATCTGTTCTGACTCTTGTGCCAGTGCGGAGATACCCCGCACATGTACTGTTGCAGTAAGCTGCAGGCTGTGTCCTCTCTAGTCTCCCTGAAACATTTTCACGGTGGAGTGGAATTGACCAAGATTCAAGCAGTATCCTCTGCTGTCCCACTTGCAGTAGGTGGACTTCTCAGATAGAATTTGCCCCTCTGCTTTCTCTGGGTGTTGAATAGCTGTATTGTATGGCAAAGCACTGTAATCCATTGCCTAGTTCTGCACACGAATAGGGCAACAAGATTTTTATAAAGGGGCTTCCTGCATATTGTCGATGTGATTCCATTTTCTTCCACTGAGAAGAAAAACCCCAAACTATTTTTTCTGTTGATAGGCAGTGAGAACCGCACACTGCCATTCTGTTGAGGGAGTGAAAAAACAGCATTTTCTCTGTTGCTCTGCATGGCTTTAAAATGATGCTTCCAAGTCAAGATTAGACAGCTCATTAGATCAGTGCTTATAGTTGCACATTTTTCTTTATTTAAATTTCAGCTTCCCTCTCAGGAGTCAACACCCCTTCTCTTGGCATGGACTTCAGCTTTGGGGGGCAGAAAACAAGTGGATCTTCAAGATGAGAAAACATCATGAAGTATTGTCTGATTGGAATCTGCATTCTAGAGTGCTCCTCCAGAAATCCTGCTATCCAGATGTTTCAAGGCTTTATAAGTTTAAGTTACAGAGTGAACAGAACAGTTTTATAGAGTGATTCTGGCCAATCTTCTTTGGCCTGCTCTCTTTATTTTATAAATAATATATATTTTTTATTCAAAATAGGTAAAAATATTGATGCGAGTGCATTTCCAAAGGCCTTTTCATTTTGCAAACATCAGGGACTTGAGTTCTTGAAATTCTTCCAAGCCATAATATTCTTGGGGATGGTATTTATTTTCAGACTGATTCTCCACCCTTCTCTGACAAGTGGCATTTTCTAACATGTTTAAAGTTCTGTCTGAGTCGGTGCAACTCAATGAGAGACACTTCGACCCACCTAAAATTGGCACTAAATCGATAGTTGGATGCAAGTGTGTTGAAAGAAGAAGTGCTGAACATGCATATATACATGTGCAGCTGTATATGAAAATAAAATATTCGCATTGCCAGTATCAAGATTCAAGAATATTGTGGCCATAGATTTTTGTAAAATTTTTTTTAGGAGGGTGTAATTGTCTTAGAGTTTTAGTGCCCTTTAAGCCCAATCCTACTTGCAGGCACCTAAAATGCAAAAGGGAACTTTAGACAGTTTGCATTAATTCCTAGGGCTAAAATATCAACTCATTCCTGGATCAGTGTTTGATGGAAGTTTGTGTTTATGGAGTCAGGAAGGAAGATGTAAATTCAAAACACGAGTTGGAAATGTGCACTGAAAGTTTAGCTCCAACAGTAGCGTTTGGAGTTTACGCTCCACAAAGGTGGTTTTAGTCCCATAATGCTGAAGAGACAATTGACGTATTGAATTTTTTTAAACTTCTTCCTAAGTAAAAGTATTGACTGGCGGTTTAAAGGTTTTTCAGCACAAAGAGGTGATCAGATTTTTTTCTTCATTTTGCTCCGTTTGCAGTCAAAGGAATGTTTCACTGTTTTTATTTTGTGGAATGGAACTGAGAATTTGCTGGCAGGATTATATGCATTTTTCTAGACCTGAGTCTTTTTTTTATCTGCATGGTTCAGACCTGGCAACTCCATCACTCATGTTTGAATTAGGTGCATGCTTAAAGTATTAGTATACTGCCTTTAAGATCATTTGTTACCATTTTCTATCCCGTTTTTGTGTTTATCAGCCCATTTGTGTTGACAGTGACTACAGAAGCAGTTGTGCATGTCATGAGAAATTACCTGATAAGTATCTGTTTGGTGACAAAGGCCTTGCCTACGTACTAAATCCTTTTTTCCTCTGTTTACTCTGCTGCTGCTACCAGTGGACATGTGTGAGACAGAAGAGAGTCTCTCAGAGATTTTCTGTCTATAAGAGCAGATGTTTAACTACCTGGTACAAACTGTGCCCTGCCAACAGATATTTTATACATCAGCCTCTGTAGCTGGAGGTCAAGCAGGCAGTGACCTCTGTAGAATGTCTTACTGCTGAAGTTTAGTCGTTAGGACTCAGGGTGGGCTCTCCCAGACTTAGCGGAGGTTTTACCCTCACTCTCCTCAGGGCGGTACTGGACACACTGAATGGTCCTGCTTCAACCACTTCGACCACGTCTGTTGGGGTGGTTCTGTCCTCAAACCGTTGTCGAGTGCTGAACCTATTTTTCCTATCAATCTAAACCCGCATTTCTAATGTAAATCTCATGGTGGGCCTTAAGCTGTGTTTGATGAAAGATGGCAGTAGAATTAATCACCTCATTTCTGGCAAAATCTGTTCTGGAGGGGGATCTTGAGAGGAAGATGGCAGCTAAACACAATAGGAAACATATAGGAATTTAGCACCAACAGAGGTGCTGTTGGTGCCTTTTGAAACTCTAAATTCCTTGTCTATAAAAACAGGAGGATGATTTGGTGACTTTCTGTTTCGTTCTGTCAGCTGAAGAGAGGATACCTGTTAAGACAGGAGTATCAGAGCTGTGTCTGAAGCCGTGTGGATTCACAGGAGTTTTCTGAGCAGGTTCTTGTATCCTCTCTGGATTTGGTTCTGTTTCCAGCCATGTCATCCTTCCAGTGTCGTTTCTCTGCCAAGCAGCAGCAGCAGCAGAAGAGCTGCCTACGAGATCTGCAGGCAGGATCCCTGCCTGCTGTCTAGCTGCAGCACTGTTCATTAGGTAGATATTGTCTTCTAATTATTACTAAAATGGATATCTTTACGATAACGCAGCTATCCAGCTCAGGTTTAGAAACGGCTTTTAAAGGCTCTTATTCAGTAACTTTTCCTGTAATTAGGTATGGCCGATTTTTCCCTTTCCTTAAAAGCAGCTCAGCCTCACTTGGTTATAACAAACTCTTGTCCAGGTAGAAACAATAAATAGTCTGATAGCTTCGGAAGCACTTCAAATCAATATTCACATGTCATATTTTTGAAAGCTTCAGAATGAAACGTGAAAGGAATACAAAAGCTGTGTAAAAATGAGGCAGAACACAATGTGGAAAAACCCCGTGTCTGAGTGACTGAACAAGCTCCATTTTGTTCTCCTCTGCTTAATTAAGGGAGATATCCTTACGCTACGCCTGCATTGGTACCGCTCATGCTGCATTCCAGTGCCACGGAATAGTCGGGCAGGTTCCTCTGCATCCCAGGATTAAAGCCGAGTGCAGAAAGCTGCAGTGGAAGGTGGGTGTCCAGGAGTACGGCGTCAGCGCGGCGTTTGCTGAAGACTTCATGTGCCCGTGTTCTTCAAGGCAGCATGTAAATGAACAGTCAGATCCCTGTGGGGAAACTTAGTGTTTCTCCAAATACTGCTGCTGAGACCTTTTTGCTCAGTGCATTATTGCAGCTGATGCCACAAACATAATTGTAGATGGCCTACTAAGGAGGATACAGCTTTTCCAGTTAGTGTTTTTGGCCTTTAAAAAGGCTGTTAACTAGAGACCTGGGCAGCGTAAAAGCAGTAATTTGAGTGCACCCACTGCTACCTGTGGTTTTAAAGCTGGGCTGCTATTTACTTTTTAAGTTGACTTTTTTTCCTTAGCTTCTGAAAGAAAGTTGCATACAAAGAACATGATAAATGCAGGATGCGTAAAGTTCTGTCAAATACGCTAGGTAAATGCACTGGAAAACAGAAATTCCTCAGGCTGGCTGTAGTCACTGCTGTAGGTAACTAAAGAGATGAAGTATTCAGCTGAGTGTGCGGCAGATTTTTTTAACATGCAAATACCTCTTTAAGGCGTACACCCACTAAATCTCCTTTGTTTTCCACCTCCCTAATCTTCACCCAGAGGCTCTCCACCACATCACCACCAACTCTAAGGGCTCTGCAATCAAACCACTCCCTTACATCCAGTGCGACACCCCCACCTTGCCTGCCCCGCTGCCCCTCCCCAACAGCCTGTAGCCCTCCATCCCAGGGACTCCTTCCACCAAGTCTTGCCAACACCAGTGATACCATAGCTCTGGGAGCTGACAAATGCTTCCAGTTCCTCCCATTTTGTTTCTCATACTGCCTGCATTGGTGCACAAGTGTTTCAGATACGCTCCTGAGCCCGCCGTGCAGCCAGGAGCCGTGTAAATGTTCCCACTAGGATTGCCACCTCATGACATTTACTGTCAGTCTCTACCTAGTTTAGGTGCTCTAAATCCAGCTGCACCCAAAAAAATTCAGTAAACTCCTAAGGCTTGAATCTCGGTTCTGATGCTGATGTAAGTTGTGTGACTGCAGTGCTCGTTCAGCTGTTGACCTGCAGCCTGGTGCAGTGTGGAAGCAGCAAGGTAACTGTCTCGACCCCATCCAGGGAGCTGTTTTCTCTGGCTTAGCATCAGATCTATGCTACAGAACAAAGCAGAAAAGAAGTGGTTTTCAGGTCAGGGTCAGAAACAGCTTTTGTCCTTAGTGCATCTCATACTGCCAGTAGAGCCTGAGGTGTAGAAGCACCTGTATTTGGAGAAAAAGGTTTTGTTGGCTTAGCTTAATGTAGCCAAGGGAGGTGGATCTGACCGCCAGCGAGAGCACGCTCTTCCCACAGCCACGAGGCTGCTCTGCAGCGCAGACCAGGCCTCCCACTGCCAGCCGTGGTGCCGGTTACTGTCGGGGTTATTTCGATGAGACCGTGGAAGCTGGACTAGGACCACCAGATGCTGTCTGTAATTCTACCAGCAGTCATCAAGTAGTAATATATGTGGCTTGAGTGACAACCAGCGTTGCAGGTGTCAGAGACTGACTAGGAGCGTCTGAAAGTGTGGAGCACAACCATGGTCTTGTTAGCTTAAATCAGGGCACAGAAGTGTGAGAGTTCAACCCTGGTACAGCATGTTCTACCTTGCCTTTGGCCCGTTTGTTGTTTGCGTTTCAGCATTTTACAAATGCATTTCACGTCCTTCATGAGAGTGAGGACTTTCTCAGCTACAAGCGACTTGTCCAAGTGGACGTCACTGTGTGAAAGAAGGAACGCTCTTGCTGGATTTTACTGTGATACCTGCCGCTGTCTCCTCCCCGTACTCCTAGATTAATGCTCCAAAATAACTAACAGCCACCTCCTCGCCTCTCTCCCTCCTCTCCCATTGACATTCAGGTACACTGTACTCTTTTAAAAAAAAAAAAAAAAAAAAAAAAGAAAAAACATCATATTGATGTTTCTATGGATAGTATTGTGGGAAGTCCTCTCCTTGGCCAGTGAGTCCTGCCCAAGGAATTAGGATTTCTGTAAGCCTCAGTGCACTGCAATTTTGTTTTGTCTCTTGCTGAATTGCTACAGTATGTTTTTGCAGCAGAATAAGATTGTATTCCTTTGAACCGGAAGCAGTACTGTATGTTTTTAGTAGGCTGTACCTAGCGCACATAGTGTACTGTCATTGAGAAGAACCGGGAAGCTTCCTAACAGCACTACAGCAATGAATATTTACTTCCTGCAACAAACCAGGAATGTGATTCAGCAAAATCTATACTAGCTGTAGTTTTTTAGTTCTCTGTGCTGGTGTGGACTGAAAGCACAACTTAAGTCTTAGTTACCAAACGTGACGCATAAAGTCTGTAACATAATATGAATGTATAGTGTAGGGGAGGAAAAAAAAAGGATTTACCTTTTCTTCCCCGACGTTGCATATAAAGAATGATGTGCTAAGATGTATTCAGGGACCCGCTGCCTCCCACGTAGTCATTATGCCCGCAGAACAGATTTACTGTTTGCATAGCTGGCTCATTCACGGAGTGTTGAATTAGCAGGCTAAGGAGGTACTGTTGACCTTGTTTATTAAGCCAGAATTAATTAACTCAAAGGGTCACATTTTCATTTCAGTGACTCCTGTGGTACAAATTTTTGAAATTGATCCATAGTACTTGAAAATACCTTGATTTTATTGCTATTTTCCCAATTCTATCAGCTTCTGTTCTGTTACAGAACACTTGCAAAATTAAACTCGTTCTGAAACTATCAGTTAAAGCATTTGCATGGTAGAGTGGCTTTTTTCATGAAAAGTAATGGTCTGTCAAACAGCTTGGCAGCGACAAGCATGGCAAGGTTGCGACATCACCATGTACTCTTCCTGCTTAATGCTTTATTTCCTTTTCTGGTAATTAACATTGAGATCATACCCACTGTTATGCAGTTTTATTCTTCTTGTCCTTTTTCCGTCTCCCTTTGAGTGTGAGTCCTTCCTCTTCCTCCTGAATATATAGTTGAAATATTATCAGCTTTCAGCTGTTTGTACCGTTTTTTTGAATACTATGAAGGTGAGTAGGTGTCATTTTAAGCAGTTGTGCCACGTATTTTATTTGTAACTGATCTTAATGTTTGTCAGGTATTGGTTTGTGATTCTCATCATTCAGGCTCAGCTTGCTTTGCTCAGAGCAGTGGGATCCAACTTCCTGCATCGCTTTTCTGTCTTTCCTAAAATCTTACTTCTTCATTTTCTAGCTTCAGTTTGGAATGTAAACCTTGTGAAATAAAATTTAAGTTTACATTTCAAATATGAGCCTGTAAGTTGGTTATGCTTTCATGCTGCTTAAAGTATTTATTTTCTGTATGAAGTTTTAAGATTTACAGCAGCATTTGTAAAACTCTAGTGGCTAACAGCCACTGTTAAAAAAAAGTAGAAGAATTATGTTAAGGAGGAAAAAAAAAAACCACCGCCCAAAAAAACCCAACAAAAAGGACAAAGGGATCATCTTTGCTTAAAAAGAAATGCCTGTTTGCATCAAATACTAGTATCAAACAGCTCATACAACACGTGGGTATTTTACCTAAAGGCATTCCTGTTCTTTCAGTACTTGTTAGACTTGAACTTTTCTTGAGCTAAACCTTGGGCTAAATCCCACAGGAAGCCTGGAAACAAACAAACAAAATGTCCTCCCTATCTCCTTTCTAAACTGGGGAAGGTGTGTGCTGCTCCTCCGCAGACCAGCACTTCCTTTCCTAAGAGAAATGAAAATCCAGTGGATTCTTCAAAGTGTTGGTGTATTTTTTTATTTTTTTCCCTGCCTTTTTCTGGAGGATGCAGGAGGATGTGTAGGAGAAAGAAATTCCTCATATCAGCATCTGGTACCCTGGTGATGTAATGAACTGCCTGGGCTGGTGCAGAGGTGGCCTACCCTGAGGAGGAGGTACGATTTTTGTGACTAAGAGCTTGTGTGAGGAGGTAGGTGGAACCTGTTGTGCCCTTCTGAATTAACTCCACGTGTGGGCATTCTTCTGCAGTAATTACATGAGCGTGTAGCCTCCTGCTGTACTCACCGACAGTCTAAGCAGGAGCTATTCCAGAGTAATTCCAAATTGCTTTGTTGGAGTAGGAAATTTCTAACAGCTTCTATAAAATAGAAAAGGTCGTGTTATTTTATAAATTATTCTATCTGTCCAGCTGTTCTCCATCCGAAAGTAACTCACATATGTTTGCTGTGAAAATAGGTCCCTCAAAGATAAAACTTAATTAAGCCTCAGGATCAGGTAACTGCAGAGCTATCTGCATGTTAGCATTCAGCACTGGAAGGAGTTTTTTTACCTTGCTTCAAACTAAAGCAAGTGGGTTTCACTCCCTGGTGTGCTGTCCAGGCAGGAAAACTGGGGTGGAGTAGAACATTTAACTGCAAGAGCTGTGCTGGGCTCGGAAGGCTCCGTTCGGGAACCGATATGCTACCTCTTCGACTGGGTCAGAATTCCCTTCACTGTAAACCACCGCAGCGCAACGCCCTTTTCCTATCGAGGAAGACTGGTTTGGTGGGCTCTGCGCCAGTAACTGCTAAATCACTGGAAAGAGTAAAATAAATTTCATTGTATCGATTGGTGATCACGTTCAGCTGGTCTTTAGATAACTGATATGGCGTGCTGTGGGTAAGTATCTTGCGTACAATCAACACTGTTCACCTAAGGACGTGCCACTCGGAGCCACGTTGTTCAATACTGATTCCTCACCCCTTAATTTAACAGGAAGGTCACAAACGGTCTGCTGACAACATTTGGGATATTTAGTCGGGTTTAATGCTGCTGCTGGCATTGAGACTTTTGATATCAAATGGGTTTTTACAAAAGCTTTGGATACTCGTTTTTACTGTCCGACAAACATTCTGACTTTGTTATGAATGCTTTGTGTACGTTTCACTAGCATTTTCCAAGTGTTTGTATGGTTTCTACAGCTGAATATCCTGTATGTTCTGCTTCTATCGTTTTCTATTATGGTTTATACCAGAAAGCCTGCACGGTTTATACTGTACTGCAGGCAAGGACTGCATTAAAACCATTTTTGGCTAATTTATCATACTTGTGAATGGTGATTTCCTATGACTTAGCCTATACTCAGGCCAAACATTCTCTCTCTGGAAGCCTTACACAACTATAATTAATTGACATTACTGCTTGGAGTGGGGAAGGTTCTTTATCTGTGTCAGAAAAAAAGGATTCACGAAATGCTGCCCCTTGTCTTAGGAGGTATTGCTCGGGGCAGCCCAGGCCTTTGCATTCTGCTCATCTGATGAGAGGTATGAAGCACTCCACTTGTGATGACATTCTGTAATCCTGCACTTTTTAAAATATGGATATATTTAAAAAATAATAATGGGCTATATTGTCTTTATATATAAATCTTCCCAAAGTTATAGTAAGGTAAGATACTAGCTAGTTTAAGAGTTGGGCATTGTGTACTTGGTGCGAGGGGATTTGAAGCCAAAGAAAATATTTGGCTGCAGATTTATGTTTAATCTGATCGATACAATTACTGCATTGAGTATTTTGAAAGGGCGCTAAGCCGTGAGGGCCGTATTTGTCTTTTGGCTTTAAGCCCTGTTGCTCTGCGAACAGAGCTAGAAATCGAGTTCAACTTTTTGCCGCAGCTTTCCTTTCTTTTGAAAGCAATACCAATTCAACCACAGAAGTTTTAAGAGGCGAAACTTAAGTACTGTACATGTAGAATTTCTGTAAACAGTGCTGCTCTCACCCTCAATTCCCACCCTGTTTTTCGGGGCATGCGCACTGCAATAGGACGCTTCTTTATTTGGTACCATTGAGCAAGACTACTGCGGATGTTTTACTATTTGAAAATAATCTATAGAGAGCAAAATTCAAAGAGTTTTCTCTTTAGTTCTTGGCCACCATCCAAAGACTGAAAATTCTGCCAAAAATTCAGTGTGGCTGCTAAGAATTACAGCGAGTTCCATGTCCACCCATCATTTTGGAAGCATTAGGAGTGGCTGTACCAGCTGACCTGGCGTGATGTAAACATTACAACCGGAAATGAAGTAAACACCTGTGTGATTTAGTTGTTTTATTTCGCTCTTGCAAGCAGCCACAAGACAGGCTATAGAAGAATAAATAAGTTAACTTAAGCAGAGAGTGTAGCAGTTTTTACAACCCCAACGTTGAGATGCTTGACTTTATAATGACAGACTGCTTTGTTACTGTACCCAATTTGGTGTTCAGGCAGTAACTGACCAGATCTAATCTAAGTCAAGAATTTCCCCCTTTGGCCAAAAAGATTTTTAAACATGCCCTCAACCAACTCAACAATAATAAAATGTAGAAAAAAACCTCATGTAGTCATATCCGTTTGTTCCAAGTGCGTCAGTCTGTTCCAAAATACTTCTGTCCAAAGTGTGTTGGTGCAACAGGATGAACTTCTGTAGTTAAAATGGTGATCTCTGGGAATTCCTGGATGATTGATTTGGCACCTTTTGAGAGAGGGCAAAGGCAATAATGACTACAGCACAGCAGCTGTATTTCAGCACCACCTGTTAAATCACGGTTAGCAGAATTCCATAGATAAGTCAGGCTCTGTTCTTCCATCTCCGCTTCACATTTCTGCCTTAGCTGACTGTCTCTGAGGAAAGACTTCCTGAATTTAGTGGATTGCTTCTTTGGGTTTTCTTATTTGGATTTCTCTTTTCTTTACCATACACGTATACTCCCAATCTAATCACCAAAATGGTTGCAGACCACCAGGAGTAACTCTCTGCAGTTCAGTTGACTTTTTTGATAGTGATTTCTGTTGGCGGACTGACTCAACACCATCCGTGGGCTGCTACAGTCCAGAGCAACAGCAGCACTGGCATTGCTCTGTGAGCCACTGAAGCATTCTGTGTACCTAGCAGCGCTGCCAATTCCCACTTTTAGGAATACTTTACCATTTGCAGTTTTGCCATTAGGTGTAACAGGCCTTTTCCTTTCTGCTAGCCCACTCCGCTCCCCACACCAAACACATCGCTGTTCACCCTCAGTTTTACAGTTCAGCCAACCCCCCCCCCCCCAACACCTTTCTTCTGAGGAAAGTGATGCTGCTCTCATTATTTGCCAAGGAACAGCTCTTCACCGTTGCCTGCAGCGTGTGACTGATGTAGCTCTTCCCCATTAAACATACCTGTGCTTGCTCTTCTGTCCCCCTCGCGCCCCCTCAACTTACCGTGCGGTGTGGAGAATAGGCTTAGCAGGATAATGACACTTGGTTGTACGCCATGTTCTACAAGAACTTTGACAGCCTCAATGACAGTATTACCAGTACCTAAAAGGGGAAAAAGTGAGATTTTTTTTTTCTTTTCCCCTGGTTGAAGAAGTTGCACTAGGCCATCCGAGACTATCCGTGTTAACACTGGTGTGTGACTGAATGATGAGACTGTCCTTTCCCACTGGAAAACTATCACCTCTGCATGGATTAATTGTAGAAAACTCTGGTCGCCTGATGAAGGAACTTCAACTCTACTCTGAAACAGCCAACTCCGCCAGGTTTTAAGCACTGGAGTCGGTGGATTTTGTTAAAGCCCTGAGGCAAAAAAGCTCATCTAAAATAGTAAAATGGCAATCAAGAGCTCCATGTCTAGAACCAGAATTAAATCTTAGACTGGAAAAGTTACTTCATCCTGACAAATTCCTTACCACGCTTACCAGATTATAATTTTTTTTTTGGTAGTATTAACTGTATTTGAAGTAATTTACTTCTAGGATTATAATATTAATCCAAAAAATGTCTTTTAATAGCATGAGAAAAATACTGGTTGAGTATTTTCTCATGGAAAAATTAAAAAAATTGAATTTATATCAAGTCTTAATGCTTCAAACTTTCTCACAAACACAGGCATGCCCAAATGATTTGCTCTGCATTCATGCTGGTGCAGGCTGACTAATATGTATTCTGGCACAGGCTGATAAATCCCCTACTATGTCACCTAAACTAAGGAAAAAACCTAATCAAAGCCCCTGAAATCTGGAAATTTTCCTTTAAATTCAGCGCACTCACTGTCCAGATGAGTCTAACTGTACATGATGATGAAAGGCACTTACTTAGTATTGGGTACATAAGAAGAACCTTTCTCCTGTAAATGTCTGGTGGAAACTTAGCATAGTACACTTTCGCTCTTTGAGTCTCCTCGTCGCTCTGTATCAGGATTTTTCCTATGCGGATTGATCTACAGCAGTCTCGTAAACCTTGTTCCATTGCCTCGCCTCAAAAGGAGCAGCAAAAAAACCAACAACAAATTGTTACACGCTAAGAAACAGCACAATTGCAAGATGCTACAATTAAATAGACAGTCCCAACACTGTATTGGTGGAGAGTTCTAAAAAGAAGATTTTTTTTTTTCTCTGTTCTAAGTGTTAAAAACACCTGAAGCTGTTTTCCTTTTTTCTCCGTTTAGACAGAAAAACGAGTCTACTTGGTGTTACTTAGCTCCTGAGTATTAGTGTTGCCACACACCAGCGCTAATCTCTCGAAGGCGAGAGCTGGAAACATCAAAACAAACGCATGGGGTTGGGAGAACATCTTCGAGCTCTGCTCAGAGACACCACGGTACAAAACGTAGTGTGGGAAGCTGTGGAGCCACGGGACTTTACATCACAGATAGAAAGGTTTCTGCAGCACTGGGCAAAATAACAGCGACTCTACCACCGCTGAGCGGGGTTTATTTGGAGACCTGCCTCTGAGCAGAAGTAGTTAGCGGGAAACAAGGACGGACAGTTGGCCTGGCCCCTCTCTGTTAACAGCTGCTAGAGAAGAGGCCAGATGAAATCTGTTGCAGCTATGTGTCTCCTAAAAAGTTGATGAAACGTATTACTTGACATTCTGTGATCAAGGATACCTAAGGAGGAATAACAGCTGGCAGGTTTGGGTAAAACTTTGCCACAGAGAAGTGCTGTTGCACATTTTTGAAAAGAAGTTGCTTACACGTTTCCAAAATGTTTAATTCATGCTCATTCAACAACCAGAAACTGCCTACCGCTTCTCATTATGCTGACTCCGCAGTTTCCCTTTTCAAATCTCACTCCTTCATACTTGTGCCCTGTGAGAGGAAAGAAACCAGACGTCAGTGGCAGTGATTGCTCTTTTCTGCCCCATCTTAATGCCCCTTTGAGGGACGGTGTTTTAAGTGACGTCGGTGTGAATGGAACCGAGATCCCCCAAATACCCAGGGGACAACAGAAAGCTCCACACCTCTCAACAGGTGGCATGAACCAATCTTCACACCATATCCTGCAGCCCTCAAACTAGCAATGGGAACAGAGCCAAAATTGTAATTTGTAAAGAACTCGTGCTTTTTTTTACCTTGAAAGTCATGTCAGGAAAGTGGCAGAGAAGTGATCCTTTCAAAGTATCATTTTATAACTCAGGTATTCTGTGATTATTTTAAATGAAGGACACTACGCAAAATAAAGGTAAACAGTATGTCCCCTACGAAGCCTGGTAAATGCAGTCCAGGGCTGCAGGTGGAAGAGTTAGAATGATGCTACAATGCTGCTACAATGCTACTGTCACTGTATTCTTCATCACTGAAAGGAAAAGGTGGGCAGTGGTACGTACATGAGAGAGATACAATCATCAGTACTGTGAGCTCAGGTCTCTTGTTAATTCAAACATAAAGACAGCAAAGCAATATTGTCCTAGTCATAGTTCTTCAGGGCTAACCCCAGAAGCTGGTAATGACCTTGACCAGCACCACTGCTGGGAAGAACAAGAACATGTGGCGATGTTTCTCACAGGGGTTGCCTATTCCCCTGCCCGACTGAAAAAAGTCCAGAGGCTCCCTTAAAGGACAAAGAATAGGGTGTTTCACTGATGTCCCTTGAGAGGTGTTCTGCTTCTGTGCCTGGAAGAGCATAAATCACCTGTGCTTGTGGCAACTTAGAAATGCTCGTACGGAAAGAACTCCGTATAGGTAAGCTGGAATTCATGCAGAAGCATCTGGGTTCTCAAGGGAAGAACTCGGCTGAGGCCATTTTAGCTCCCTTGCTGGGCACAGGTGTTGGAGTGCAAGGGCAAACACACTGACTGCAGCGCTAGGACAGTTTCAGACAGTGAGACTACCTACAGCCTGGCTAGGAGTAAGGGCAGGAAACAAAGTCTTTTCACCAAGGCGACGTGTGCTCAGAGGGCAAAGTCTGCGACTCTCTTTGCCCATGGCCAGGGCAGTGGCCCTCTCAAACAGAACTGTAGAGCTTCCAAGGGATGTTACTTGCAGGAGACCTGCCAGTCAAATTGTGTTAACACAGAGAGAAGACAGTCATGAATATATCCGTCACCGACTGACCTGGAACAGATGTGACGCCAATGCTCAAGAAGTAAAGTAGCTGCTGTTTTATTTAGAAAGGAGCAAAAGTAAGTGATGGTGCCTCCTGAGTGCCTTCCTAAGCTCTGTCTGGTTTCAGAATTGAGTGTTTTCAGTCCATCTTTTCTCTAATTAAAAGACATACAAATGGTTTACTGCAAAGGTCAGAGGGGAAGGGGTGTGAATGTACAGAGCAGCTCTCACCCTGCAGAAATGCCAGTGAAATTCTCAGGGGGAAGAGGACTCGCCTGGTGTATGTCTTACAGGTGTGCTGTGGGTTCACAGCGTGTACTTGAGTGGTTCCCAAGAAGTTGCTGATGCAGTAAGCTGCTACCTCTGGGTAATGCATGCAACCTCACGTATCTTTACGGTTAACAAGAGCAAACCAAAATTACTGCAATGGGTTTCCTCTAGTGTCAACACAGCCACTTTTTACTTCCTGCTTATCGTCACTCCCAGCTGGCCCCCAGTTGCAAGCAAAGACAGATTTAGGCTGGCACTGCAAAACTGCTTGTGCCAAGTACTTTTTCTTTAATGGGCATGTGAAACGTCATCCATTTTAATTCAGCATTGCAGTATGGGCAAGTAAACTGATCTTATACATACACTGATAAGTTTTCATCATGGTTTTGCAAGACCAATCAAAAACCTTAGTAAAATGTCAACTATATAACTGTACGTTTTGCTCAATTGTGTTGTTACACACCTTCTAGCTTTTTAAATACCGGAAGGGACCTTAACTCTGTACTGTACCCTGAATGTTAAAATGGTTTCAGCCTCAGGCTCCCCAGGGAAGTGGTCATGGCACCAAGCCTGTCAGACAGAGTTCAAGGAGCATCTGGACGATGCTCTTAGTCACATGGCTCAATTTTAGGTAGTCCTGAGAGGAGCAGGGAGTTGGACTTGACGACCCTTATGGGTCCTTTCCAGCTTGAGATATTCTATGATTATTGTAACAGTTCCGTATTCTTTTATATTAGGTAAGCTTCCACTTCCAGTCCTACCTAGGGGAGGAGTAATTTCCCACATACCTGTTGGAGTGGTGACGGTACATTCTGTGTATGGCAGTTGATTCAGTCCCTCTTCAACCACAAGTCTGATCTGTAGAACCAAAGAGATCAGTCAGCTTAAAGAGATTTGTTATCTATGGAGGTAAGGTACCAAATGTTAGTAGTTTTTACAAGTAACATTTAACAGCCTGAAGGGTCTAAAAGGGTCTCTTTAATAGCAGTTAGGGATTTAATTTAGACACTTTTTGGGGGCGATGCCTGCATTTTGTCCACAAATCAAATCAAGGCATTACAAAACAAAATTGGGGGAATGGGGGGAAGGTGTGTCATCGGCAATCATAAAACTGACTTCATTTATATCTGGCAGGCACAGGCATCCCACATCCCAGACCAATTTTTCTCAACAAATGAGTGAAGTACCAATGCAACTTCACTTTGCTGACAGAAAATACTAGTGAGAAAAAGGGAAAATTCACCCTCTCTCAGTTCCCCACCAGCTAGGCTCTGAGGTCTATTTTCACATCTGTATTTCTATGACTCAACTGCAGTGGGGCTGCCAGAATGGCCACAGAAGCTGCAGCAATGTAAACACACCACCAAGTGCCCAAAGACAAGTCAGGAGATTCAGAAATCTCTTTATCACCTTCTTCTCCTGGCACTTGCCAGCTGTGGTTACTACGGGATGCTCTGCCAAGCGCCTGTGCTTTCACACGGTACAGACAGCCCAGTTCAGCAGGCACATCTCTACTGGAGGTGCAGCTAGTAAGCCACACACCCCTCCATCCTCAAGTGGCCAGAAAACCTCCAGCTCTCCCCTGGTGCTGGCCCTGCAGCTGTACCACAGGCAAAGTTACCAAAATGTCTTCATCTGAACCCAGAATGATTGTCCATAAAAAATGCTCCGGGTATTAAAGATGTAGAAATTCTCTCTGCTAGTGAGCCAAAGATTCAGAGGCCAGGGCGGCTCAAGGAAAGCTACTGCCAAGCCAAAGATTAAACCTGTTAAGCAAAAGTCACTGTAGGATGGCAGAAATGAGGTGATTGCTCCTGGGACCGAGCAAGTATACTGCTCACTTCAGACGTTTCTTGTTTCAGAAACAAGCCAGAGCAGACTGGAAGATTTTTTTCTGTTCTTCCATTCTGCCCTAGTTCCTAACATACAGGCAGCCTCTACTAGAAATTAGAAACAGTCCCCTAGATTTACAATCCCTCTTTGAAGATATTTTTAGTCATTTTAGTACAACAATTTTTTCCTAGAGTTGGGTTTGTGGCGGCCATATTCAGAGGTGGTGGTCAGACTAAATCAGTGAAGGGGTCAAATGGTGCAACTGACATATAACAGGAGCAAAAGACAGAAAAAGCAATTCACAGGATAGTATTTCCACTACAGCAAAACTGCATATGGGAAGCAGGTCCTTCTGTTGACTCATTGCATGTTTGGTGGCTCTAGGAAGCATACACAGAGAAGCCACCTCTACTACCTTCCTCCTCTTCTTCTTCCTGTCTCTCTGCAAGTGGGTTTTTGACTCGGTCACTTTAATCCTGAGACTGAAGGCACCAGTGTTCTACTGAAAGACACATGTTCTCACATAAATAAACAAGAAATCCTTGATTTAATTTTAGGTTTCTGGGACATTTGTAGACAATTTTATTTTTTTAAAGTTATTTCATCAAAGAAAGCCAACATATGAGCCAGGTTTGGAAGAAACGCATTTTTTCTTACTGCTGTCACGTTGACAGGGTTAGCATCGCTCTACATTATCTGCCAAAAGTTTAGAGTAAACCAGTGAAGGTCTATAGTCAAATAATCTCCTTAGTTTACTACATGTATCAATGTTTTATGCAAAGGCTGGGAAGGATTCTTCTGTAAACTTGTCAGTGTTGATAAAACATTTATTTTTGCACTATGCTTTCTGCTGCTCCCACGCTCAGGGATTATCATTTCCACTGCTTTACTTTCTGGCCCTGAGAACCAGCAGCTCTGCTTCTCTCCCAGAGAGGTGGTTGTCATTGCTTGGAAGCTAAAACAGGTATCGTTATGGCCCCACATGAAGCAGGGAAGTAAAGCTTTGGTCCCAAGGTAAAAGAGTCTGACCAGAAATTAAAACCATGAATTAAAGTTATCAATAAACAAAAATAGAGTCTATTTTTAATTGGGGGAAAAAAAAAGCTAAAAGGGATATTAAATTCTAGCAGGCCTAATTAAACTGTCAAGGCTTACAGAGTTATGCTGAAGTTTTAGATTAAGCACTTAATGCTGATATACACAATTATATGTCAACATGCTTATTTATTACAGTTCTACATTTAAGATTTGCCCCAGAGCCTTTGCAGTAAGCAAAGGGAAATCCTGTTTGCTTCGAACCTTCATTAGTACAAGATCTGTTAGAACTGTTAGCAAAAAAACCCACCAGTTAATAGACGTCCAAGGCATTTTAGCTAACTACCACTTAAACATTTCAAGGAAATGAAAATGTTAGTGAAATCTACCTTTTCTCAGCCAATTAAGCACATGAATAAAGTCTCCTTACCACACTCAAATACCACTGAAGAAATCAGGTTTGACCAGTTCCTCAGAATCCATGAACAGAGAAATTTGGATACAAGTAACTACAGAAAGCAGGCTGACAGTACTCTCATTTAGAAGCGGTGTAATCACTAAGTAAGGAAACCAGCCAGGGTGCTGTGAGAGGTAGTGCTGCTCTGACCAGACAAAACTGGAAAAATGGGAGCCCTTTCAGAGCCCCCCAAGAGGCATCTGTGATCCTCAGCAGTTGCATGTTACAACTCTTCTGCCTGCCTGCAGTTTGGAAAAAGGTGAAGCATTTAAAGGCCAAGAAACCAGAATTCAAGTAAATTCTGGAGTGACCATTATTATCTTCCCCTGTTTGTGGGAAGACAGTAGTCTTACTGTATTTTATGTGATAGCCACGCATCACCTAATTTCCAAGATCACAGTAATTCCTAGAGGGATCCTCTAACCCATTATGTTGTAGCTTTTCTTGGAAGCTGAAGGGAAGGCAGAGTAGTGGGGCTGTCAGCCATACTTCGTATCTATACAGCTCTCTGCACCTCAGGATTTCAAACCATTTTTGAAGTATGTGTTATCACCCCCCTGAAACAGAGGTAGGTGGGCAGAAAGGTGAAATGACCTGTTCAGTGTTATGCAGGGAGTTGCTGTTAGGTCTGAGAAACTAATTAATTCCTCAACCTCAGATCTCCAGTCAAACCACAAAATCTACCTTCTGCTGAAAAGCACCGCTGTACTTGTGGACTGAGGCTGTAGGTCAGTGCTGTAAATGACAAACACCTGCCTGAATCCAGGCGGGAAGTCAATTTTGCTTGGTCCCTGCCAAAACTCTAGATGTGCAATGTCCTCAACGCCTCTGGGAGATGGCTCCTCTTCCTGTTACTCGCCTGGTCTCTCAGCCCACAACACACTGTTTAGCTGGTGTGCAGCACCAGCTTAACTTCACAGAGCTGGACCTAGCTTACTGTGTACCTCCTACTGAGCAGGCCTTGAAAAAAAAAATCTCAGGTGGTCTCAGTAAAAATGCTGTGAGCTTTGTGAGCATCTCACTAGTTCTACAGCAGTCCTGCAAGGTGACATCAATTAAATGCTTCCACAATGCCTGGGTGCTGCGCAGCACACATACAAGGGTTCAGTGTGAGCCTCTTGCACTGACAGGAGTTGCCTGCCGGTGTTTCTCAAATTGGTCTCACTACCACTTTGAGGTCTACCTGTCCAGATGTCTACTACCACAAGTCATAATGATTGCTCGTCTCCTGTGTTATAGGCTGACTTCCCACAGCTGCCTCTCCTCCTTCACAAACACAAGACAGGTTGTTTTCATCCTCATGACTTTAACCCCACATCTTTCAGCTTCAGGATCACAGCACTGGCAGTGGCTTTCAGAAACTCCCTGCTAACCTTTACCACCTGTATCTTTGAGCATTTCTTTTGTGTGAAACAAACTGACAGCGGTAAAAACTGTACCACCAGAAATTCATCAGCTTTAGAATCCCTCCTTAAGACCCCTTCCTATGGTGACCTTATGATATACTGCCACTAAGAACTGCCAAGCTAGTAGCAAACTTAACTTCATTCTCATTTTTAATCTGCAACAAGATGTATTTTGTTACCCTACAATCTCACGCATATGTTTCTTCTCTTCATGTATTGCATCATGCCATTAAGCTCTGTTTGCTAACTGGCTGGAAAACATAGCAAGTCTTAACTATGTTTGCACCCCACCAAGTTTAGTAGAGACCACCTCCCACATGAAACTGTAACTGTTCTTCACCACACCTAGGAATAGCATACAGAAAATGAGATAGTCCTACACATTATTTTGCATAAAATTCCTCCTACAAAATGGAAAACAGACTAGCAGGTTCTGTAGCAAACATCTGCACAACCAGCAAACAGAGGCGTTTCTGTGAAGAGCAGCTCCCTATCTGTACAAGTGCTGGCCAGCCAATAGAAGATGCTGCTGGTACAAGGGCCTGAATTTAAGTCACTGCCTGGAAGCTGCAGTTTTCAGCAATGAGAGGGAAAAAAATCAGTGCTTCCCTCAGAATGGCACAGGACCTGCAAGTAAAGTGAGAAGGTAAGTGGGAGAGGTCCTCTGCACTAATTAATGACTATAAGGTACAGTCAAGACCGTTAAGGGTTTTCCTGTCAGTATTAGAATAGCCATTGTTTACCTCTTTTTTAAAATACAGATTCGGAACACAGTGCTTCTCTTTAATTCAAAGTTGGCAGGAATGAATGCTCCTTAAAGGGTGCAGCATGATGGGAACCTAATACAAGGTGAAATGAGAATGTTAACCAGAAACCCTTCCTGTGAAAGGAGTACTGGTGAGGAAGGGGCCTGACCCCGGCACTGGAGCCCTGTACCCTGCAAATGTGTGGGATTGCTGGTGTTGACCTTTGTTGGCTTCCTGAATCTTACTTGCATATTTAAGCACGTGAAGAACCTGAAACTACAAACTGCAGGAAGAATGGCACATAGCTGAGCTAATCTATCACAGATGGTGGATGTGTCCTGGGCTGTTCCTACCCGTCCAATGAACTATAAAGGACATGTATCTATTTAAATGTATCTGCTGAGAACTGCTCCACGGAATGAAGTTGGGGCTGTGACTTTCTGCCTGTCTGTTATAAAGTACTATTGGCAAAGGTGGCACTCCAGTCAGTCACTTGATCTACAAGTTATGAGTGATAGGATTTGTTGGCTTGGGCCTTTACTGTTCTCGGTGAATGGGAATGCAAGAAACATCCTCAAGAAGGGAAAAGCAAGGGGGAAAGTGGAAAAGCTGCAAAGATAAGAAGCACTGCAGTCACAATCTTAGGTTGTGGTCATATCTTAGCCCTGAGCAAGCCTGGATCAGGCATGGATTAAGATTGGGCTCATCACAGGAAACCTGCCTGCTGTAGCAAATGGTGCTGGTAATTGAATGATCGTGGGACTCATCTTTGCTAGAGGGGGAAAGAAAGACTTTCCTTGTTAATCAGTGTGGCTTTGCAAACAGCAAACACCCTCATGAATACAAGGAAGTGTATGTGTGGGCATGAGTGGTGTGGTTTTCTTTAAGCATGTAATTTAAATGAGATAAAGGTTGCTTTCCCAACAGTCTTTGTTCTGACTTACTAAAACGTGTGAAAACTTCAAATTGCTTTGTCCCTGCTAGTAACTACCATATGGCTAAAAACATATTCCCAGTGTGGGTGCACTGAGAGCTACTAATCTAATACACAATAAGTGCCAGGAGGCACTTCTGCATGCAAGCAATTGTTAAGATCTAGACTGTAAGAAATTGTACAGCTCTGTTCACAAGATCAAAAGTACTGTTTCAAAGTAAAACTGAATTATCTCTAGCCTCTGTGCATCTGTTTTTAAACAGTATTCTCTTATTACTACCGTGCTCTGTCCTGAAGTAGTTGTGTTTAATAACAACATGGTTTCTGGAACCCTCTGAGATGAAAGCAGACCATAACAGAGAACAGAAGGCCCTATACAGAGAGTTGCTGTCAAACAGCAACTTTCTTTGGGTAGAAAGGTTGCTCTCGCACCACCATTACTCTATCATGAAAGACCCATTTTACAGAAGAGTTACAAAGAAGAATATCAAGAAGAAGAAATTCTTCACCTACCAGACGATCAGCAGAAAATACGAAGTCTCCTCTACTGGATTTCCTGAAAAAGGTAATAATTTATATTTTAAATTGGGGAGTAATTTTAAGAACATTGCTTAAATATACTATTAATTCAAGGACAATATATTCTAAAGGCAGTTCAGAGAAAAGTCTCCTACCATATACAAAATTTATCCCACAGAGATTCTACTTCATGGGTTTCCTGCTTGGTAGCAAAGATTGAGATGCAGTGAGCTAACACAGAGGTTTGCTTCTTACTACTGGCAACGTTGCTGCGCTGTACCAGTAGCAATTAAGAGCATGAAAACAAAAGGATGATATTCTGTAGGTTTTCCATTGTACTACCGTTCCTGCTCAGTTCCAAAACACCTCACAAGCTTAGATGTGCACCAAGCCGGTACATTCCCTACAGCTCTGAGCAAGAGACTTTTGCCCCGCCCATTCTTAAGTCAATCAGAAACCATGGGACAATGACAATGCAGATCCCTAGCCTTGAGACCGAGTTAACACACCTGATAAGCAGGATATATATGTATCTTATCTGCAGTTCATCCATAGTGTGACTAGATTAGTGAACCTGAGACTAAAATGAGCAGGAACTAACAAGTATTCCCATGAAAACACCTCTCTGCCATTTTATTACCCTGGGTGCAACTTTTTACTCCTGTGACTGCATGGCTTTTGGCCCATTCAGAAGACAGACTAAGCTCACTTCCTCCTACTACATACCGTGTAAATATGCCATGTTAAAAGCCTCAATTTTAAAAGCAGTTTTTAACACCTTGCTTCCCATGTCAAGGCCAACTTTCACTACACAGGAGTAGGACAAATCTCCAATTAAGGAGCCAAAGCATCAACATCGTAAGCAGGTACTTTTTAATGGAATTTTCTATTAATCACAGCAGACATACCCCTCTCTCATTTTCAAACCATGATACTCTGGATGTCTCCTTAAATACGATAAAGAGAGTTTTGCATTTAATCCCCAAGATTCTGCAACGTCTTACATTCATATGAGTGAAAGTCAAGAGGTTGGTCTGCTTATTTCCTGTGCAACTGGTAACTTAGCCACTAAAAAAAACAGTTTTAATCTTCCAGACTATGATGTTTCGGGAAATTTAGCCGTATTTCATGAATGGGTGCTAAGACAAACCCAACAATGTCAAGACTGCGGTTTTGACTGCAAAGCATACGTGCTTAGAGCGAATACTATGAGTTATTAATACAGATTACTAGGCTTTATATTAACTACTCTGTCCTTACAGAGAGACACAGATGTTTTTATGCACAGTTCACTGAACACCCTTAGTCAGTTATGCCTGTTTTTTTGAGGGGAGGAGGAGAACAGAAAACAACAGTGCATAAAAATGAGAGACAAATAATAGTAATACTGAAAATGACAGACCTCTTGTACACCGGCAGCTGGAAAGCTGTGACCAGATTTCAAGCCCCACATCATGTGAGAATTGCTAGGGGCCAGAAAAAAAAGCTTCTGTGAAAACACTGTAACTGTTCACCTTAAATACCAGATAGAAGCATAGAAAGTAATGATGGATGGCAGACTGGCAACTTTTCCACCTTTTTAATCAAGTAACAAGACAACATCTGAAAAAGTGAGGCATTAAAACCTGACTGTTGTAGCACACAGCTAACAATATGAACATTGTGTTAAACAATATAAATTAGTTTCATTTTGTTTCTGAAGGTATGGAAGCATGGCTGATGTACAATTAAAGTCACGTGCATGTCGTAAGAGGTGAGAAGAAATGTTTTTTGGGAACGTACCATAACACAAGCTAACTGCACGGTTTCTTCCTGCTTTAGCACTTGGTACTAGTTACAAGCACTGATACGGCTGTAGGCTCTGTGGGTCATGGTCTGACATTCATTAGTAATTCCTGTTTCTCTAGTTACCTTATAGAAGAACTTCTTGAGAAACACCCAGGGTACTGTGAAGGCAAGACTGAAAAAAAGCTGCTTCCCTAAACAAAATTTGTAAAAGCCCTTTATAAGAAAACTTAAGGCGCCACTGTTGCAATTAGGGGGAGATGATGTAGCTGGGAAACAGGACCATGTTCTACCTGCAGCACTTCAGTATTTAATGTACTTCAGTACTTAATTTTTTTCAGTGCCTGGGCTGGGGGGGTGGTATGTGAAAGGGATCCCAGCCTTCTTGCCTGCAGTAGTCATCTTTACTCATCACAGGCGAGTTACACACTCCTGAATCATCCTACTCTGTATAGCAGTCAAGACTGCGTGTGTCCTACCGCTTTACTGTCTTCATTTCCATATTGTTCACTCAGTTCCCTAGGGAATAAGAAGCTTTAGCAGAACACAACAGAATGATCTCGCATAACAGACACAATAACCTTTAAATACCTGTATTTAAATGATGTCTGTTGTTAAATCAGGAGTTAAAATGACACTACCAATCTGAGCTAATGAGTTTGCTTTTACAGAACCACAGCTCTACATTACAAATTGCTGCACTACTTATTTCAGCTTCCAGATCCCTGGTTCTAACCTGTGCAGGCCAGAAATGACTTTGCGATCACACCCTCCACAGAACGAGGCTGTAACTGTTTGTTCCCAAATGTTCAATACTTAAATGCATCAGTTCACATCCTATTAGAGGACTCAAAATTCATATCCAACACACGCACTGTAAAAGGTATCTGCCCACCTGTTAAGCATTCACTAGATGGAAAACTGAACAAGCCTGAGGAAAAAAACAAGCAAACTCAGGCACCCTCAAGTTGAGGTGATCTATCCATCTCCCTGATTCTGGCACACAGACCTTGTTCTTGTTAACTTTAATGAAGCAAAGGAAATACATGGCCATTTTAGTCTATCAGATGGCCATTACTGATTCAACCAGCTGTCTCTGAACCCACCACAGGACATGATAACCAGATGTGGTTACCACATGAAGGTGGGTTTTTCTTTTATAAACTGGACAGTTATTCCAATTGAAAGGCTGTGATGTCTTTCTCTGAATCCTCTCAGGAACAAGGAAAGAGCCACTTTTCTGAGCAGCTCACACAGAGTCCCCAAGGTCTTCTGCATCTGGCCTGACCATCCTTAGCTCCATGAAAGCATGCCTGATTCTAACTTGCATTGCACTGGGAGTATCTGTCCCTTCCTTACTTCACAGTAACAGTTCTAAATTGACTGGTTTTTTCCCTACCTTTGTTCTGTTTCTCTCCGCCCAGTAGCTTGCCTTTTAATTTCTGCACTTTTCAGGTGATTGCTGTACCTGGAACATCCATCTTCTGCAGCATTAAGTAACCCAAATATCCTCCTTGAGTTAAGGCAGCTCTGGTGTTACCTGTTCTTTTTTTAATCCAGAAAGAAAGATTAAGTGATAGGTATCTAATTGCCCTGTAGATGACACAGCTTCTCCCTCTTCCCCAAGCAGTGTATGTGAACATACCCTTTTGTCAGTTTAAATCGGATTTTTTTGACCAGTAGCTCCTCTTAGCCATATAGCTGCTTATTCACAAAAACAATACTTCTGAGGAGGAGGAGTTTCTGTTAGCACTTGGTTTGAATGCTACAGTGATCATAGAGTTGTCTTAAGGCAGATTATACCTGCCCAGGGAAAGGTTACTGCAACAGTTTCTAACCAGTGCGTTAAAATGGTTGATGGCTGGACTCAATGATCTTAAAGGTCTTTTCCAACCTAAATGATTCTATGAAAAGATCCTCTCACCTTTGCAGCTGAGCATGTTTTAGCATCTTTCTGAATGACAGGCACTAAAATAGGCCAGTCCGAGGTCTCTTATTTACTGAGATGCAGCTGACTTTCTGGGACAGAATGTAAAAATAATGTTTCCCTACTGTCCTTACGTACAAAGCCTACACCTGCCTTTCTGAGCAGGCTGTTGTCCAGTTTTCATCACTGGTTGGGAAGGGAGCTTGGAAGTGACAATTACATCTCCACTGCCAGGGCAGTGTCACATGCAGAATAAAGCATGGTTTGCTATCACTGCAGCTGTTATGACTAATTCATTATTTACAAGTCTTATTCTGTACTTCCCCTTACCAAATTCTTGTGCAATGAAGCTGATGCAACTCTAAAAAAAAACACTCTTCAAAGTTAAAATATCAGCTGCTGGTTTCTGGATAAGCTCACTATAGCCAGAAACTTAATAAACATTTGCAAGAGTTCAAAACCTACTTACAACAACATAGTAATAAAAAAGCCTATCTGAGTACAGTAAATGCATTGCTAGCATTCACCTAGATATCAAAACTATATGCTATTTCCTTTTCACTAACCTCAAAACCTTTTATAGGCCATCACCAAGTCTAGTCTGGATTTTCTCCCTCTCTCTCTCTCTCTCCTTAGCCCACTCACAACTTCCCTTTCTGCTCTGCAGGGAAGCTGCCAGGCAGACATTCTCACCTGCAGAGATCTTTTGTGTGGTCTTGCCACAATTGCCCTCCTTACATCAAGACTGCAACACCTCTGTGTGCTTCTGCCTGCAATGAGATTATGTTTTTCTACAATGCTTTGAAGATTTAAAAAAAAACCAGTGTAAGGTAACAAGGCTCATGTAAGCTAATAAAATTACTGTAGGTATTATCTTTGGGGAATATGATTAGTTCTGCATAAAAATGTATTTGTATTACTAGCTACAAAGTTAAGCACTTGAGAACCAGGAAACAGCAAAACGTAGACTATGCAGATTAGCAGATACGAAACAAGGGGAAGAACTCTATCTGTGCTATGCGTTAGTTATTGCAGATGTTAGCAAGCCAATGCGTTGCAGGAAGAGGTTTTATTCAGAACCTGATCACTCTGTCGATAAACTTGATTTCACACCTCTGTGCTGCTGGTAGTTCTTCCATCACAGGAGGCAAGTTGTGCTTTTAATAGATGGCGGCTACTTATGTTTGTCATATGTTGCATGCTAAATTTAATACCTTACAATATCACCTTCCAAGTGCTGAACAATCAAAGCTACAAATGTGATCAGAGGAAGGTGTGGTTTCAACATCTGAGACGCTATGTAAGGCATAATAAAACGTTTGGTC